CGGTGGCATGCCTCGCCATGCTGCGCGGTGCCCCACAGCGCTGCACTCCATTCGGTGAGACAGCATGGAGCACAAATCAATATGGATTAAAACACTGTAAGGAGCTATCTGCCGACTTCTCCCGACTGCACACGTGAGGAAAGTACATGCTGTGCTGGAACTTGATTGCATACTTTTTTTTTCTCCCCCTTTTAAATCATAGCGGGAATGTGGGAAGCTGATGCTGAGCGAGATTTGGACTAAAGGGCCATCTTGTCACCGGAGAAGTAGGCCTGGGCAGCGTACCCCCTCATGCCACCCGAGGGGCATATCCATCAAGCTGCTTTGAGAACTGCCCGGCGGGGGGGTTAGGAATCAGCTCCTCATTCCACCTGCCACACCTAGACTGTGAGCCAAACGCTCCAACACAAACAGCGACTGCCCCGGCAGTAGGCCTCCACCCCTGCTGCAGCTGTGTGCATCCCACGGTGCACCGCGGGACACCAGAGATTATCCTGCCGTTTGCAGACAGTCGCAGAATGTTAATCCTCAGCCATCTCCTCTACTGTGGGGCTAAATCTGAATCTAACTCTCAATGGCTCCTCCTTCTGAACATGCCGCTTTTCTTACCCATCACTCTCTGTCTTTGCAAAATCCCCCCCCCCCCCAAAAAAAAAGAAACCTCCTCATTACCAGCTCTAACTCCTTTCTGTGATGTTTTTAACTATATCCGATCCTCCGCCTGAAATCTGCTGATCCCCATTTCCTGCTCGAAAGTGACAAGACCTCATCCCCACTCACTGTTATCCTTTCTCTCCTCCGCCGGCCCATCCTTCGCTATCAGCCCTGCATTGATCTTCTCATCCCCAAGAACACAAAACACCAATCAGCCTGTCATAATCACTCAGCTGGAGGAGGAAGCGCAGAACGCCAACTGCAGCTGCTTTGTGTTGAAGAGGAGAAAGTGAAAAAAAAGAATAGCGAAGGGTCTTCAGTTGAACATTTGCTGGATGAGTTCTATATTTAAAATATGAAAAAAAGGATTATGACTTTTTTTTTTTAACCAACTGCACTACTGATTCCATCATTTTAATGATGATATTGATACTCATTTCCCTTTTTAAACTGTTTCCTAAAACAATAAAGTCACAGCTGCTTGCCAGTCTAAAAATTACACAGTCTCTGAATGGTATCTAATCCCCCACAGCATTTCTGTTCTATTCACTGTGATTTTCTCTGATAAAAGTTGAACTCTATACCTCACTTTCTTTTTTTTTCTAACTACTTGTCTCACAAGATGTTTTTCATCAGGACACCATGTCTGCTCACTGCCAGACAATAAATATAGTTTATGATCTGTCAGGCGTCTCCAGACTGTTACCACCCTCATACTGTGCTTTCTTGTCAGGCAAACTACTTTGCCAACTTTATGTCTTCACACACCTCAGCAATTTCCCACTACAAATGATCTAGTGGATCAAAATCCTTTGATACAGCGAGCCCTCACCGGTGCCCCATGAAATGAGTCATCTTTCTTCACTTGATGATGCCATGTGTAGGCTCACAAACAGAATGGGATAAATATCTAGGTAAACAAGTCAGGATTTGTGAAAAATTGTCAGACTATGGTTGATAAAAAAAAATGTATTTTTAACATGTGAAATTGATTTTAGTGTGTGACTGAGACTCTTTGTAGTTGAACTCTCAGCTCTTACCGGCTATCAGACTCCATTACACTGACCACACAATGAAACAAAGAACAGTAAATTATTCCTTATTTCGAGTGGTAAATATATTTATAAATAACATGATCTGACAACACTTCAACCACTGGCTAAAGCACCCCACCCCCGCATTTTAAGTATTTCATTTTCTGAGAGTTCAATTATTCAACAAACAAAACAAGATACATGACACAGGGATGTGTGAGAGCTATGTGAAACCCCAAAACAAATGGAAAATAGCATGTTCTGCTGTGAGTGGCTTTTCTAACACGGCTTGCTTCTGTCACACTTGCTTCTGTCTAGAGAGCCCGTGCCTAAAAAGACTCCCTCACTTGCTGTAATTTTTGGTCCGTCTAAAAAGAGCAAATGGAGGGTCTTGAGAGAAACGCGGTAAAATTCTGCAGTCATAAATCCAGTGTGGTGGTCCGAGTTGTGAGCAGTGAGTCATGTTCCCATTTGGAGCTTTGACGACCAAAGAAAGCCCGCAGCGAATTTAAGACAGGGTCAGAAATTTAGGATTAATTCCCACAGTGTGACTGCTGCTTCAGCCCACGTCTACAAACTAACTATTGAGTTTATGACATGATGCCTCTGAATACACAAACCCTAGAGCCTTTATGTGCCTTTTTTATAATAATATTGATTGTCTTTGAGCAAAGACAGCTACTGGTTTCTGACTCTTCTCACCAACCAGACATAATCCCACAACCAATTCCAAACTCTGCTTGGTTCAGAGCTGTTTCAATTAGCTGCAACTTCCTGTACACTGACTTCAAATTCTTTCCAGGGAGAATGGAATAATTTATTCATTATTAATTAACAAATACCTACAGACATCACGCAGCAACAGGAACAACACAAGCATCTTCAAATTCACAATGGTTTGTTTTTAAAACCCACTGGCAGAGCAACACTCGCTTAATTCATTATGGGACTGTTTATGCTGTGCTTCCTTCTGTAGACAGTGACTCAAAGCTGTGTGGAATTGGTAGGCTATTTCATTTTTTGCTATTAGTTTGGCTTTTCTATATTAATAATCTAACTGAATACACTTGTGTTAGCTCACTTGGGACAGTATGCCACATCTGCATATATGCAACTGTATAAGTCTGGGATAAATCCGCTAATTTCTTTTGCCAAGCCCACCAGTTAGACTTTTTTTTGCTTTTCTCCTCATAAATTGTAAACTAACGTTAACATTTGTCTCCTTACTGTCGGTCATAATTAATCCAGTCAGGTACATTAATCAGCTGCAGCAGCAGCAGGAGACTCATGTGACTCAGGGGAGTTATTCATGGTCAGCAAACAGCGAGTTTCTGCTGGCCTCCAATCTAAAATAGAAGACAGGTGTATCATGTGAAAAATGCTCATATCATCATGTCATGAGCATCTTTCAGAAGGTTACTTAAAAAGGAAGGATATTGCAGAACTTTACATGTTTCGTTACTTAGCAACGCTGACGATCAGGCCAAAGTTTCCCATTACGATTCTGTAGTTTTGGATTTGGCAGAACAGAAACGTTACTTTCTGGAACAAAAAAGCAGTACACGACTTACATATTGCCAAAAAAACTGTCATTTTCAGTTAATAAACTTCTTTCATACTAGTTGGACCAATGAATATAGGTGACATTCCAAAAGCCATGCACTGGCATTGACCGCAATATGCAATAACCACTGCCATCTGTATCTATTTTGTCTGCATCGTAAAAATGTTTTAAAAAGTGGACCGAACATTGGGACATCAATCACAGAGTCTACTGCCAATAAGGCAGTTTAGAAGACTGATGACAGCATTCCAAGTTTTTGCATTCAGTGTCTGAGTTGTACATCCTTCTTTTTTGATATCTGACATTTGAATGAGTGATACACTCAGTAAACAGCTCATTAAGTGTTACACGGCATTCTGTACACACTGTACTTGTAAATACGCTATTGTGAGAGATGCGGTGTCGAACTATCTGTGTATCTCTAGTTCTACCTCTTTTTCTAGGGAAAAGCGGCCCTTATATGTCAAAGAAGTACGGCTTTAATAACTGTATGGTGCACTTAACCATCATGGAGGAAGTGATAAATCTTCAGAACTGCTGATGTCATACAAGAAAGGTGCCGACCATGGATTGCAGCACTTATTTATACAAAAAAGTTAGTCGATTTTGTTTTTTACAGCTATGAATTTCTCAGATTTTTTGTTGTTTTATTATGATGATATTAAGAAAGGGGAGATGTTATTCTTTTCAGTCACTGGAGTGTATGTATACTGTATGAGTAATATGGTTCAAACTCTAGATTACAAGACTCTAATCTTAAAGAACGGCATACAATTTATTTACTACACAGAGGCCCACACCAAATAGTGTATTTTCTGCATCTACAGATAGAAATAATAAAATAAGGCAAAATAATAAAAATTGTGTCCCTCCTGTATGTATGCGTGTTAATCTACTTTACATATTTGTCCTTGTAACAGTGTATACTGTCACACGTATAGACAATCTTCAATCATTTCAAAACGCTTCAAGAAAAATAAATCAATAGTTGATGCTATTCAAGTAATCTGTGCACTAACAGCTTCTCCGTACTTTCTGACCAATTGCATGAATGCACTCTTTTCTATTCATCTCAAGGTTGTAACCTTAAAAGAGAAATTTCAAAAAGATAAAGAAAAGAAAAAATCCTTTAGCACAGCCCTTAAGGCAAACACAGAAAAATAACGTTACCCTCTGAAACAGAAATGCACGTAAAAACCTTATCTGTCCTTTCCAACTACACACTCTACTCTCACATCTACCATGTCTTGCTAATGAAAACTGATGAAAACTCCACAGCCCAATAACATGAGCATTAACACTAATTCACGCTCACAGAGACAAACAATCTCAAGTAAATACGGCTGACTTTCCAATAGCAAAGGAGGACAAAAAAACATGCACCCTCTGGGAAATTTCCTCTGATCAAGTGCAAAGAGATTAACCAGTTGGACGTGTGCTAATGAACAGGAGATCATAATGAAAGGCACTCGTAAATGTAGATGAGGCATGTGAACAAGGAAAGTGGCTTTGCCTCGAATCAGATGAAACACAAGAGTAATGTACGAAAACCAATTACTTCGCCGTTCCCCTGCTTGCCGAACGCCGACGTATACAGTACACCGTGTTTAACATTGAAGAAAGTGCACTGCTCCATATACAGCATGATTATGATGGGGAAATACAACGGAAACAGAGTCACATTTTACGCAGATGAGTCTAAAACGGTTAAATGGATTGATTAGAGGCTACAGTCGTGGGTAACTTACTGATCACATAGTCCCCAAATGGATCCTCGTCCTCCTCATCATCAAGGTAAACTGGTGCAGCAATAGATGGAGAGAAAGAAAGAAAAGGTGGGAGGAAAGGGACAAAAAAGCAAAAACAAAAAAAGATTATGAGAACCAAAGAATGGAAGCATGAGTGGGAGAACACAAAATAAATAAAAACACAACTAAAACTGTGCGTGAGAGGCAGAGATATGACTTGAGAGACATAAAAGATAAAGTCGAAGAAATGAAAGCGAATGCTGCCACACCCTCACATGATGTTTTGCCTTTATTTTTCATTCAGACATCATCAGCCTTCGTCAGGAGGCAAAGTATAGATGAATAAACCACCAAAAACCCCTCAACATTGATTTCTGAATTTGTTCTTCAGGCACCGTTTCTCTCTTCCTTCTCTGCCTTTCTTAGATCTGAGGACAGTGTGGGGTACCATTACAAATTACAAAATTCTCTTTAAAAGGCAGGAGAGATGTGAACAAGCCCAATGCTATAGAAATGAACCTGATCTGCAACCATTTGATCTGATAGTTGCTCTGCAAGAATGGGTGGATCATTATTGCCTGCTTACACCACCAATTACACACAATAGAGGACAACTTATTTGTCATCTGTGTGCAATAATCCCCCCCAAATCTTTTCGTGTATTCATCATTCAGATGTTCACTCTCCTCTTCTTCAAAGCCTTTCATCCTTTTATGCGAGTTAGCGTCCATCTACTGTGATCAATATCCCGAGGCTTTTATAAAACCCTGATCTTATACATCTAAATCTGTGTGCGTGTCTGTCTTTGTGTGTGTTCTCGGCATTTACTTCAGGATCAGCTCTGGTACAGAAGCGTTGTTATTCCGTCAGAGACACAGAGGAGGGAGAGCGTTTATTTATTTATTTATTTATTTTTCGCTTTGTTATTATTCACCACTTTGTTGCTGCGGCGTACGAGCATGTCTGAGCTCTGTTTTCAGCATGTTGCATGGACCAGCCGGGATCCATCCAGCGTACGGGAAATTTCTCAAACTGCAGGCCTGGGCGGAAGACATCCACATGCAGATATCCACTGCCGCGCATGCGTGTCTGCGGCTACTTTACTCATTCCGGCATGTGCGGCTCTTAGTGCGTGGACAAAAAGTCCTTGAACCAGTGGGTGAAGTATGGAGGTGCACACAGGAACTCGCTCTCGCACACAGACACAAACGCACTCGGGCACGTTCGGAGTGGTGTGTATTTGTGAAAGCGAGCTGTCAGTGCTGCTCTCACACACCATTCATCACAAGCTACTAATTCTGTTAGACCATTGTGGAGCCTTTCGCACCCCACGTTGCTCTCTGAAAACTCAATCAGAGGCTAATGCCCCCCAACCCTTCTAACACACACACACACACACACATATCTGTGAGCTCTCACTTTCAGTTTCTTGATCACACACACTCACAGAGGGCCTTGGGGGACAGCAGCGGTCTTGCGGGACCCCACCAGCCCAACTCCATAAGTGCATGTGATAGACTGAGCCGCATGCACTAAAGCTGCTGGTGGTTGAGAGCGACTGCGTCCTCCAATCAGCAAGTCACATCCAGTTTTCCTGCAATGTGCATTATATAGTACAGAACGCTTCATTCAAACTCATTAGAAGCACCATTTGCATTTGTCTTTACTTCCTTGATTACAACAAAATCAATTCAAACCTTGTGTGAAAAAAGCCCGTCATGTGGCCTGAATATGTTTTAATATGTGGCGTTTTACTGTGGTACATGACTATAATATCTGGATGAGACAAGGACTGGCATGGGGCCTGTGCCTTCTGCATCAGATTTGATTAGGCAATCAGAAGAATCACTTTGCAGAAATGTTATTTCACAAAGCACAATTAAAAGTCCAGCTTGAAAAAAACAAAACAAAAACGAAACAACACAACAAAGCTAAATTGAATTTAGATTGTTGCTCCCTAAAGGCCAACTTTCTTTCCTTCAGCAAATAAGCGGCTCCTAGGAACAGCCGATAGCGAGGGGGTAGTCTGTGAGGGAAATCGGGCCACTGAGCACGCCCAGATAGGGGCGGGGTTAGTCAGAAAGGCCACACCAAATTTAGCGCCACCTTTTCGTTCTCTAATTATGGGATTAATGCGTCCTGCCACATACGTCACAATGCTAGCCCGTGATTTATTATCCAGACGACCAGATGGAGAGATTGAGCAACTGAAGAAAAGGAGGAGAGCGAGAGTCGTCTGAAAGCACCTAATCAGCATGCATGTGTGATTGGTCTGGGCCTCGGCCGTGGAGCGAGCAGTCGGTCTGTGGATATAAAGTCTGCTGTATGAGTAAAGCTGAGATTTATTGATGGGAAACAAGGCTGAAATGGGATGAGATTCTGTCTGTTTTCTTAACAGGCAGCGATTTAATGAGCGGGAAAGCACAAAGGCATATGGAGTCTCCCCATACACACGGGTATATATGTAGAGCACAGGACAACAGACCGTGGCCATAGGGTCCGTTTGGGCCTTTGGCTAATTCCATGTCAGTGCCTACTCTTATTTAATCTAATGCATGTTTGACTCATTCACATCCCTGATCAATGGAGTTCGGATATAAGCAGCAGGCACTGCTGTAGAGATTTACAAGTGCTCCTATTCTTGTGCTTGTGTTTCCAGACGGGCGTTTTACGAGGCAGTGCACAGTACGACGGTAAATCTTTTCTTCCTCTTTGCCAAAATGAAATCACCGGATGCTGGTCTCTGCGCTCATATCTGAGTATTGTCGCCGAGCGAAAACGAGAGAAGCGCTGCCAAGTCAACTTTGTAGTCTTTTTATTTTTATAGTGTCTGGAAGAGGTTATAAAAAGTCTTTTAGTCAATACTCGACAATAAAGCTGGATTTAAGGAAACTTTGAAATCCATGAGTTGCATTTAAAAAACCAATACATTCAGCTTTAGCATGCTTAACTGTAATTGGAATTTAGATGTAAATGAAAATGCTAACAACGACATCAACCAGAAAAAGAGGGGAATAATCAAGATGCAATTCCAGCAGCCTGCAGAAAAATAAACTAGCAGAATGTACACAGTCATTTCTGAATGAGGAGCACAGTCATATGTTATAACAGCCTTTTAAATATTTTGTTTAAAGTTCAACATGTGTTAAAGTAAAAATTAATGTTAACTATTTATTCTTTTTTCTTGGCACCCTTCAAAATAATTGAGTTACCCCTCTTAACGGAACTGAAAGGGGTTGGAAATATCAGGTATGTGACAGCAAAAGAAAGAGAACATGAAATGTGTGGGTCTTCAATTCCTCTTTATGGTACATATATAGTTACCAGCCTGCTAATCTTTAATGCTTTCTCTAATTACCTCTGTATTATTTAATGTGTAGATCATATAGCCCACTTATCTTTGCAATCTTTCTTTCCAGAAAATAACAGAAACATGATTTGTAATGCAACATCAGTCCACATTGTTTCCCAACTTTACCAATGATTGTCTTATATATATATATGTTGTAAAAATACTACTATTCTGTTCTAGATGCTCCACAGTACATCGATACTGTAAGTTCTAGTCACACAAGATGTATATGTGGTGCTAACTGTGTTGAGACTAGCAAAGTCAGTCATCTATTGCACAGATCACACTTTTTAAATTTGTTATTGACTCAGGTTTTGTATTGTTTGTTTTCCAGGCTTTTCATGTCTGCCAAAGTCCAAGATTTAAAAATAGAAAACCCTGTTTAGACACCATGAAAAGTAGTCGTACTTCATTTTAGAGGTCATCTGTTCCTGTCAGGACATGAGATGGAGTAATGGAGATCAAAGGAATTATGTAAAATAATTTCTTAAATATATTCAACGCTCTCTTGACAGCTTGTTACCCCGCTGATACACACACACACACACACTCACACACACACACACACACAAATAAAAAGGAAAAAAAAAATCATACACTGAAACATCATGTTCCCATGTACACAAATTACAGTAAACTAGAGGTTTCTAATAACTGACAACATTTCCCTGAGCTTTCTATTTTGGTACTGAACTCGGTAATAGGGCAAACAAACACATAAGCACGCACGCACACACACACACACACGTTGTGCCCTGGAGGGCAGACCTCTACTCTTAAACTGACATCTGTCAGTCAGGATCCCAAGCTGCCCTGACAGGAGCATAACAAGAGCTGGTGAGAGGCACAGCATGAGGGAGCAGAGGACAGATGAAGAACCTGGCAAGATGAAGAGGAGGGATGACAGAGAAGGTAGATGGAGGGCAGGAGGAGATGCAGGAGAGGCTGAGCCTTTTTCGAAAATTGATAAAGGTAGAGCAGGAGGGAGATGAGAGCACTGCAATATGATGTTTGTTGTGTTCAGCGCCGACGCCGTTATGCGCTCTCTGACGTGTTCCTGTGTCAGTCTCCATGATTAGATCAGATCATCATCCTGCTATTTTGACACTGGATCTACCGTTGCACCTGGTTCGCACATGAAAGGTTTGGGCTCGCACTCGCTAACACCTAAACAAACAGGAAGACATGACAGACCCAGTCAAATGTACAGGCGTGAGCCCTCAGCGCCCACACTGTTTGGGGTGCAGCCTCCGGTTAGGCCGGAGTTAAATCTTTCCTCTGGTCGCATCGGCCCCCGATGTTTTCTTCGGAGGAAGATACAAGAGCAGAAGGGGTGAGGATTCCTCATCCGAGGCGACGACTGTAAGTGACTAATGAATTGACTGGATCAGTCACAAACCTGTTTTTTCCTCTCTTTTTTTCCCTTTTTTTTTTTTAATCGTGCTGCCGCATCTTCCTCTGATCTGCTCATGCTGGCAGAGACACCAGCGCAAAGCCTGATCTAATCTTTAGTCTGTGAAACCATCAGATGAGCTTAAACGTGTGAGCTGGTGGTTCCCTTCAACACTTCTATAGAAGGCAACCTTTTGAAGTTGAGAATTGAATTTAATTGACTTTGATGTGGCGGATGCTCTGCATAATCATCAATACAAATGTCTCCAACAGACAACTGAATGTCTGGCCCACGTATGAGCCTCAACAGATCCGTGAATAAGCCTTTTTAAGTAAATTTGTTGTGGGAAAACTAGGATAAGGGGAAATAAAATAAAAAAAAAGAAAACTTCACTATTTGATCTTTGCTCAGTGACATCAAACTTCCGGCAAATGATTATCAGAATATGGAGTTGGATTAATCTGCTCATTTTACAAGGCCTGGAAATGCGGACAGAGAGTTCGGTGGCGTTCTTCTGGCCCTGAGACAGATAGGAAGAGTGGCGTCTGCAGCTGATATCTGTGGCTGCAAGATTAGCTTGGTAATTAACCACAAAGCAATTATCGGGTGGTTGGATGAGAGGCGCATCTCAGGGAAGGTGTTTCTTGACGTGTTTAATAGGTGTTGAGTAGTTTGATCAGTCAACAGAAGTTGCTTCAGAGGCCTGCAGTGTAAGGGAGGTTGATCCACAGCTGATACGTGTGCCTGCCGAGAAGTCAATTAATTAGACTGTTGCTCTTCCTTTCATCCACTTTTCATTAACCTCCGTTGACATCGCGGGGAAGATGGCGCACGGGTTTTCGGTGGCGTCAGAAATAACGAGGAAACGTTGGGTAACGGTGGCATGGCACGAGGTTGAAAATTCTGGGGTAAGTGCCGGAAGAAGAAAATTCCTTGGGAAAAGTCACCCTCTAAGGCTACATCCAAACTAATATCCCTACCGAGATATGCTTCTGACGACTGTTTCAGCTTCGAAGCCCAAGAAAACGCAAATGATATAGGGAGACAGCATTCATACACACTGGAGACACAGTTGCTGCTGTAAATAAGCAGACTAGGTTCCTGTTTTAATCAAACATTGAATAAAAAGAGCAGATGCAACTGAAAGCAACATTCAAATGTAAGACTCGCCTGTGACATTTTGGGCTGTTATTCATTTCCAGAGGAAGCAGCTGCAATGAGAACTTCGTACCCGAGTCAGTAATTGGAGGTCAAATAACTCAATCAAATAACTCGAATCCCATATCAAATGAAAAAAGGCACGTTGGCATAGGTTTAATTTTTTTGGTAGCATTTCACTTAATTTACACCATTGTGGTGCTTTGATCACTGAGGTTAGAATATAATTTATTATCAAAACCATTTTTTAAAGGAGGATGAGTGGTGTGATCTCAGCAAATGATTGGTTCAAAAGGTTGATGTTTAAGGACTTTGCCTAAGTGCTATTGATGAAAATGAGGATGGTTCTCTGGGGGCTGTCCAGCCACTGTCCTTCAGATCACAAACAGATTCAGTCAATAAAACCTTCTCTCTTGCAATTCATACCATGCGATAGCTGTCTGTTATGACCCCATTAAACGTTAAACATGATATTCCCCAAGTTGTTCTTTTTCTTTGATCAAATTTCATTCTCATTTTTTTTTTGTGTGTCTAAATCAATGGGTTCTACTTTGATATTCTAAACCATTTTCACCCCGGAGTTCTTAATCCTACCTGACTCGTCGTCAGACTTGTTGTCATTCTCGGAGTCGGTGAGAGTGAGAGCCGAGTTCTCACGGCTGGAGACTCCGGAGCTGCGGCGAGACTTTGCCCCTCCACGTCCGGCCCACAGCTGGATGGCTCGCTCTGGAGACAGGGGCCCCTCCGGGTCTGAGTCGGCGTCTGAGCCGGCGCTGAGGGAGTAACCCCGCTGGAGGAGTCCCAGCTCGGGACAGTAGGGAACAGCAGCGGGATGTGGAGTGGGAGCTGGCTCGCACACTCCCAGCTCAGCCAGGGTGAAGTTACCCCCTGTCGGGGGGGGGAGAAAGAGGCATTAGAAAGGCGGATTGGAGCGAGCTATGTAGACTCATTTAGTAAAATTGACACTCTAGCACAAACAATATCGACACAAACAATTGCACACACCTACCAACAAAACAAAAAAAACCCTCTAACTATTGCACGCAGAGAAGCACGCTAGCTTTTGAAACTATAAAGGCAAGGGATGAAAATTGGGCTTTACTGTGGCAGGCAGGAGGGGGAGAGATGACGCAGCATGAATCAGGCACAAAATACAAGCTAGCTGCTCCGGGAAATATGTACTGGCCTGCAGGCCTGTTAGCGGTGTCTTAGAAAAGCTGCTTCCTTCGCTTTACCGCTTCACATTGGCATTCATGAGCTGTTGATGTGAGATCAAAGGACTGTTCACTTGAGGCCTCTTAGAGTGTAGTGGAGCTGCGTTGCTGCCTTGTGGGTTTGATCATCTCTCCACCAAGTTGCCATCGCACACTGAACCTCGGGCTCACTGAACACACTGCGGCCCGATGCAGCACCAGTGCGGATGCCCAGCACTCTTCCCCTCGAGACAAACCGACACGTCGCGTCCAAAAATAAATATAGAAAATTATCCAAATTAAAGCACATCAAAGGCGATCGATAAACAGCACTGCAGTCCAATTAAAACCAAACTGAGGAAAAAGCAATCAAGAAGAAAGGGGATGCTCACCAATTTATTCTCTATACTAATTAAAAGAGTATTGCGGATACAATTGCTCACCCTCAGCTGTTGGGGTAAAAGGATCCAGGGAAAAACTGTTGTAATTCACTTCATTAGCAGTTTGTATTGGGGGGTAAAGGAGGAGGGGAATGAAGAGACTTTGGCATTGTGGCTGGAGGACTGTGTGATTCAGTGTGCTGGGGATCACACAGCTGTGTGGCTGGCTTAACTGTGACTCATCAGGCATACAGATGCAATCAGATAAAGGAAAGAATCAAACAGATGAAAATCATCTGCTGGATCTTCACAGCTCTCCTTTGCAGAGTCTCTAAAACTCCTGAGTTGTGCTGAAAGAGATGAGGAGGGGGCTGAAAGGAAACTTATCCGGGAAAGAGGCTCTATGCGTCTACTCAGGCAAACAGATGGGGCTAGATGAGGGAGAAGTGGAAGGAGAATAATTCCACAGGTGGGTTCAGCTAATATGCTACAGCTTGTCAAGCTTCCAAACAGCTACAGAGCAAAGGCACCCAAGCACAGCAAGACACCAGGGAATATTACCATTCCTGCTCTTCCTGGCTTTGTTGTCTTTTTCTCCCACTTATCAGAAAGGATGAAAAAAAACAATTACTTCAATTACTACATGTGACACTAGGGAAACTACAATGCTACCATGTACGCACAGGACCAAACTATGGTTGTTCAACCCATACCTGAGATGAGGTATCGTAGGAGGACAGGAGAGAACTCCAGGAGGCCTGAGAGAGTAAAACACATGTGTTCTTTAAAATCAGTAAAAAAAAAAAAGTTACACTGAACCAAACTATTCTACACCCACAATTGGAATTAGTCTTCATAGGTGCCAGTTTGCCAAATCTGACAACCACAAGCACAGCTAGTCTCCACACATAGTACGTGGATACTTACTGAGTGCGTATACACGTGTGTGCGTGTGTTTTTGTCACACATATCTAATGTTACATCCCACAGGACACTGCTCTGTGCAATTAACATCCCATAACCAGTGATTACACATGTAAAATCCAATTTCTCCTTATCACCATCAGCTGTGGACTCAGCCCAGTGTCCCGTGTACTCAAAGAAAGACGGATGGGTGCGAGGGGTTGGAGCAGACATGAAAATCTATCTTAGTTATTCCACAAATAGAAAACCAATTGCATGTTTGTTATGTGATATTATGACAGATGTGGGGGCATAATGCAGTGTTGCATTTTAATCAGATCAATTCCTTTCAGCCTTTACAACGCTGCCGGTGTCACACTTGGGCTCACGATATTTGTTTTAAGCCCTTTGTGGTTTCAGATGCTGCTTTTGGGCAAAGCACGTGTCTCAGTTATGTGTCTTTAGCCTGGCACAGTCATCCCCGACACGTTTTGACAACATCTCTCCTCTGATGCTCGGGAAAGGCAGCAGCTTGTTGCCTCAGAATGAGAGTTGTGGAATAAGTCTAAGCTTTCAAGTTTAATTCTCCTGGATTCATCAGTAACTGTGGCTGTTCCCGATCACCTAAGAAGTTCTGGAGAACCACAAGTTTCTTCTTGTTTTTCGCTCCTTATTTGTAATAAGGAAACAACTACCGATCCTTTGATTCTGCAACTCGACATTCCTCTCACCTTAAGCCTCGGTTCAATTTTGCCTTTTCTTTTGAGCAATTGCAGCTTCTGGGTTCAAGTTGCTTTTTATCCTCAGTATATCAGTGGATGAGCTGGACTCAAAGGATCTGGTTTGTTCAAATGTGTTTAAAGTGTCATATACGTTGTCGATATACAGTTAAATAATTATGTGACAGTGAGAAGACCTCTAAACTGTGGTTCTGGTGGCATTAACAGTTCCTCAGTGAAACTTCAGGTATAGTATTGCCACATTATATATAGTATCATAGTTGTAAAATGATTTACTTGAGCACACCTCTGGTGAGTATATCAAATCCAAAGGTCATTTGAACAATTGCTTCAATGAAGGGGATTAAATCTAAAATATGGTGCCATTTATTGCTAAATAGAATCTGCTGATCTCGAAACTGAATATAATTTCATCTCCATTTCACATTTTGGGAACATCTTGACCTCATATATATATGAGATTTGTTATGTAGCTTCAGATTTTTGGCCCCACTGTTGAAAGATCCGTATTGGATCTTGTATTCACTAGATATATATTTTGTATGAATGAGACCGCTCAGTAAAATTGAAGCATAGCGAGTCAGAGCATTTTACTGAATACTTTTCTCTCACAAACAGATGAAAGGACTGAATGAGGGAAAGAAACAAAACATGTTCCAAACGATATGCGATAGCAGGTGAGTGTGTCTGCGTGCGGTACCGTTAGTTAGAAAGACAAGAACCACTGAATAGAGAATTATTGCATTAGGAACTGATTATCCCTGCACATGGAAACGAAAAGAGTAACTGTACAATAATGGTAATTAGCATAATCAGTCTTATTGAAAAACAGAACGGTTTTAACAAATACACTATATATCACATGGAATAATCGTAAATAGAAGGTACTGCGCTATACAGAATTGGAAGGTATGTAACAAGGGTGAATGTGAGTGCAGAAGACTTTGCAGCACATCTAAGCGAGTATTATCCAAAACGTTTCCCTAAAAACACACTGAAAAAGCAGAGGTTAGAGCAGCATTAAGGGTCCGTCGAGTGCTTTTGTCAAGGGAGGATAAAGGCTTGGGTGAAAATAAACCAATGCCAGAGAAACATTTCAGTTTAAGTCCAAATATGGAGCTTTTTTCAACATTGTTACACTTCACTATTAAAAAGAATGTGCTTGTGGTTAGTAAATGAGGTTTTGTTTTAATTTGGATCACAACCAAAATGTTTTCAAACAGTCTGCCTACATTTTGGGGGATTTTGCGGTAGCTCCTTCTATCATACCTCATTTCCTACATGGTTCTCGTCACAATTGCCATCACTACAGAATCTTTCCAGTATGAAGCAGTGTTGCTCCAGGTTAAAGGGCCTCGGGCAAAACAGAGAGACTTTTGAAACAATGGAGCCTGCTGTTTCAAACACACACGCACACAGACACACACTTTTGCCGTGCTTCACCTGAATGCAAACATTCCGTTGTTCTCCTCCATCATGAAGAGGAGAGATAAAAGGATGATCAGTAAAATCACTTTCCGTTATACTGGAAGACATTATGCACCATTCTGCCATCTGATAAGCCTTCCTCTAGTGGATCTATTTTTCCAACAGGACTTCCTGGATCCTATTTCATTATCTCATCAGTACCCAGAGTCCTTTGCCTTTGCAACACAGTAGAGGCCATGCAGAGGGTCTTTTTTGTGCTTAGTAGGATTTCTGATTGATAAGTGGAACAAGAAGCATCGAAGGCATGATAAGTACTGATCAAATGCTCTAAATAATATGGAAATGAATTTCAGTGCTTGCTCAATTGTCTTCTTTGGCATAGGAAACACTAAACAATAATAAATTAAAGGAACAGCACCTGGTCAACATTTTGAATCATCTTTAAAAAAAAACATTTTTCTACTTTAATTATTTACATCCTCAAAAGCATTGTCATTATCTAAATATTGTATAGAATATTGTATAGAATGTATTTTCTTTATCAATAACAATATATACTATCAATGACACAGCCTCCATGACACAATGAAAACGACTGCTTTACACAAAGTAGCTTAAGTTATTTTAGACAAAGATAAGCAGCTCCGGTTTCATTAGCGCAAGCCCATATCCCAGTTAAGTGACATATCGTCCTTTTCCCATTGCTGTGCTGTCATCTTTATGAATTTCTCTGGCCAGCTTTCCTTTATATCATATTTTCCAACTGTGTCAAGGAAAGGCACATGTGAAAGGAATATAGGAGCTACTTGTAGCCAGATTCTTCTTTATCTATTCTTATTTGGTTAAAATGTGACAGGTGCATCTGCAGTCTATCTCGTCTCTTTGCTCACAAACTTTAGGCTCCTGCACTAGAATTTTTTGGAGTATTCATACCTGCACGGTGTCAATCAGAAAAGCATTAAGGATGGGGGGAAACATGTTGTTGGAACTTACAATAGAATAGTATATGTCAAAGAACGGCATTAATCAACGTTAATGCACCTCCCTTGATGGAATTCATGAGCGTGTGTGTGGGAGTGAGTGTGAGCAGTGTGTTGTATTTGTATGAGTCCGACTGTTTGTGAGGAGACAGCTTTGAGGGATAGAGGGGCCTATCATTAAAAAATCATTTGTGCTTGTTAGCAGTTTGACAGGAAAAGTATAGGCAGCAGGACTCTGCATTATGCTGGTTGACTTTCCCTTACCCCACTGAGTAATTCTGTAGAGGATGTAAAGCAGGCAGAACTTGTGGATTTCATTGCCTGCAATTATGTTGCTTTTTCCAGATCGAACAGTTTACAGTCAAGGCCACCCTTGGACATGTCATTTTGAACATTCAGGGGAGTGCAAGCTCAGAACAAGTTCTGATTTGCCCATAAGTGCTCAACTGGTGAACTGATTTGCACCTCGGTGGAACATGCATCAAATTCAGGAAGCACACGCCGCTGTGCACGGTAGGTTCTCCAGCAATGCCCTGAAATAGCTGAAATTACCGTTAATAACAGTAAAAGCCTCATTTTCTTTGTCCTATTGAAGAAAATGCTAGAATTTGTGACTAATAGCAGCCAAAATGTGTCATTTCTTAATATTTTCCATTTTCATTTGCACCCACTTCAAAATTCATTTTCACTGCACTTTAGTATTCCTAAAGAAAATTAATTTGTTATCCTGAGTTTTCTTTCATTGGAAATTTGAAGAAGTATACACATATATTATTTTTGTATAATGGAAACTTTAAGCAACATAATGGAAAAAAGTTAAGTGACTGAGAAACAGTGGAAAAGAAGAAGTGGGTTCCAATTATAAGTCAGGAGCCATCTTTCAGCAGGTTTACATGTACCCGATGTCAAATCCCAATGGGCTTTCCTTTCTTTTGTCTTAATGCAAAAAACAAAGTGACCTCGAAAAAGAGCAACATGTCAGCCCAAATTAGGAAAAAGCTTACTTTAAATAAGAACAGAATACAATAATTTTCCAGCCTCAAAATCAGTGGCTGGCATCAGTTGAAACATGTTGAAAGTGAGACATCGCCTTGCTTCGTGAAAAGGACTTAGCTCATATTTGAATTCACCACATGTTTTAGTCTTAGAGTCAGGGACAAAAAAAAAAAAGGTGGAAAGAGGTACTATAAATAAGATGCCTGAGAAAAAATCTGTAAGTGAATGGGTTAATCAGCAAGCCGATCAGAAACAAGACAGGACCGAGCACCCCGGGGTCTCACAGCCACAAATGTGGTCAGAGGCTCAGCAAGACAGCAGCATTTGTAAATTGTGGAGTAAATATATATGTTCCCTAATTTAACACTGCTGCGTCTTCCAAGCATACTGCAGGTAACTTTACGAAAAGATGCTCAGAGTCTTGAGGATCTCTCTGTGTTCATGTAACAATGTTAAAAATCTAAATCGGACACCTATGATCTTTGGCTTTTACCCAGTCAGGATTCTGCTAGTGAAATCCCTTCAAAACGTACAGAACACTGCCAGAAATAACTTTCTGTGAACACAGTTTAGGTTCTCTCTTTGTGGGACCAAGAAAGGTCTGCCTCATCGTGTCTCTCATCTTGAAGCTTTATTGATAAAAGAGCCCGTGTGAACATGATCCAGACACACAGCCGTCCTTCTGGGGCAGAGTTCAATCTAAAATAGACT